GTATTTAAACCCTTGGAGTATCGAGGATGGCAGTAATGGGGCTCACGGTATTTAAACCCTTGGAGTATCGAGGATGGCAGTAATGGGGCTCACGGTATTTAAACCCTTGGAGTATCGAGGATGGCAGTAATGGGGCTCACGGTATTTAAACCCTTGGAGTATCGAGGATGGCAGTAATAGGACTCACAGTATCTGCCTCTTTACGATACCTTACAGTAAGATACAGCCGGCGTATGCTGTCCCCGAACTTCCAGGGGACTAATCTAATTAGAATTGTAAAGGTTATGTGCATAGTTAGAATTAGGATTTTATTTGAGATATCAAATTGAAATTGCCGAGCATTAGGCGTGTTGAAATACCATAGCCATTATCCAATGTTTATCCAATGTTTATTGGAAAGATCAAAGTAAAATCTGTAGACGTAAGCAAATTCGTGTCATATTGATTTTGTTTGTACCTGCCGAAATCGCTTGTCTTAAAGACTTAAATAATTCACTAAAACTTAAATTGTTATTTGATAACATTTCATCTTGTGTTCATAAATCAAAACTTGAACCTCATAAATAGACCATAGGTGTACATGACATACTCGTTTGGCGGGATAAGGAGCGTTCAACCTTATCAGTGATGACGTAACAAGCATGTCTTGTGCCGTATTGATCCGTAAACACGTCGAACAGTGATGCTATTTTCGTATAAATTTTGTAGTCAAATAGCTGAAGTCATTAAACTGTTTGATATAAATAAAACAAACAAATCTTTAGAAGTGATGGTTTCTGAGAGGGGCGCTAAAAGATCGTTCGAAAATCTTACCTACCTTCTTTAAGAAGAAAAAAAATCGTTTGATCTGAATTTTTTATGCAACCTCTTTTTAAGCAGGTACCGTTAATATGTTTATCGTTTACTGAATGTTCTACCACTAATAGTTCACCGTACTTTATCAAAGGGGTCTATTGGCTTCCTCCGAAGCCTTTTAGTATGTTTACTAGAACGCCTCAGGGACTATTTCTCGTACCATGATGTCTGTGGGTTTTTTCACATTTGACTAAACAACAATAAAACATGATTTTATTCGTATGATAGTTTGAACATGTTTAGAACGTATGTAGAACAATTGTATTGGTTGCCTAAAGATACACGTAGGTGCAATATATATGCTGATGCCATAAGTAGGAAGCCAAGGGTACAGTTTGATATCACGGTCCAGTATTGCTTCTGTCAGTTTCCAAGTACCAATAAACGAAACACTTAGGGATAGTTATCCACGCCTCTACATCTGATAACATAGTTATCCACGCCTCTACATCTGATAACATAGTTATCCACGCCTCTACATCTGATAACATAGTTATCCACGCCTCTACATCTGATAACATAGTTATCCACGCCTCTACATCTGATAACATAGTTATCCACGCCTCTACATCTGATAACATAGTTATCCACGCCTCTACATCTGATAACATAGTTATCCACGCCTCTACATCTGATAACATAGTTATCCACGCCTCTACATCTGATAACATAGTTATCCACGCCTCTACATCTGATAACATAGTTATCCACGCCTCTACATCTGATAACATAGTTATCCACGCCTCTACATCTGATAACATAGTTATCCACGCCTCTACATCTGATAACATAGTTATCCACGCCTCTACATCTGATAACATAGTTATCCACGCCTCTACATCTGATAACATAGTTATCCACGCCTCTACATCTGATAACATAGTTATCCACGCCTCTACATCTGATAACATAGTTATCCACGCCTCTACATCTGATAACATAGTTATCCACGCCTCTACATCTGATAACATAGTTATCCACGCCTCTACATCTGATAACATAGTTATCCACGCCTCTACATCTGATAACATAGTTATCCACGCCTCTACATCTGATAACATAGTTATCCACGCCTCTACATCTGATAACATAGTTATCCACGCCTCTACATCTGATAACATAGTTATCCACGCCTCTACATCTGATAACATAGTTATCCACGCCTCTACATCTGATAACATAGTTATCCACGCCTCTACATCTGATAACATAGTTATCCACGCCTCTACATCTGATAACATAGTTATCCACGCCTCTACATCTGATAACATAGTTATCCACGCCTCTACATCTGATAACATAGTTATCCACGCCTCTACATCTGATAACATAGTTATCCACGCCTCTACATCTGATAACATAGTTATCCACGCCTCTACATCTGATAACATAGTTATCCACGCCTCTACATCTGATAACATAGTTATCCACGCCTCTACATCTGATAACATAGTTATCCACGCCTCTACATCTGATAACATAGTTATCCACGCCTCTACATCTGATAACATAGTTATCCACGCCTCTACATCTGATAACATAGTTATCCACGCCTCTACATCTGATAACATAGTTATCCACGCCTCTACATCTGATAACATAGTTATCCACGCCTCTACATCTGATAACATAGTTATCCACGCCTCTACATCTGATAACATAGTTATCCACGCCTCTACATCTGATAACATAGTTATCCACGCCTCTACATCTGATAACATAGTTATCCACGCCTCTACATCTGATAACATAGTTATCCACGCCTCTACATCTGATAACATAGTTATCCACGCCTCTACATCTGATAACATAGTTATCCACGCCTCTACATCTGATAACATAGTTATCCACGCCTCTACATCTGATAACATAGTTATCCACGCCTCTACATCTGATAACATAGTTATCCACGCCTCTACATCTGATAACATAGTTATCCACGCCTCTACATCTGATAACATAGTTATCCACGCCTCTACATCTGATAACATAGTTGTCCACGCCTCTACATCTGGTAACATATTTATCCACGCCTCTACATCTGATAACATAGTTACCCACGCCTCTACATCTGGTAACATATTTATCCACGCCTCTACATCTGGCAACATAGTTATCCACGCCTCTAAAGCTGATACCACCTGTTGTTGTCATTGCGGGTGCTGCTTATTAACGTATGACATAATTAGACATGAACATAACTGTGATTAATCCAAGCACGTGCTACACTAATTGCACACGAGGCGTATTTATCTTATCAACCCTCGTACCATGTGACAAGATCTAGTTTAATTTTACGATCCAAGGTCACTACTTTTATATAACGACCAGGGTTAGTAATGTATATGGACGTTCCAGATCCGTGTACAATATCGCGTGCATTGAACGTGTTAGTCTTTCCATAGAACGGTTTATATCTGCAGCTGCCGGTGAGAGAATGGTGTTAAATAGCTTTTATTACACACAGCAACGTCAGGAGAACTCGGTTACTGTAGGGTTTCTTTATCTATCTATTTCACTACAATACCGTGTATGGTTACTGTAGGTTTTTATATATATCCATTTCACTACAATACCGTGTATGGTTACTGTAGGTTTTTATATATATCCATTTCACTACAATGCCGTGTATGGTTACTGTAGATTTTTATATATATCCATTTCGCTACAATACCGTGTATGGTTACTGTAGGTTTTTATATATATCCATTTCACTACAATGCCGTGTATGGTTACTGTAGATTTTTTATATATATCCATTTCACTACAATACCGTTTATGGTTACTGTAGATTTTTATATATATCCATTTTACTACAATACCGTGTATGGTAACTGTAGATTTATATATATATATCCAGTTCACTACAATACCGTGTATGGTTACTGTAGATTATTATATATATCCATTTCACTACAATACCGTTTATGGTTACTGTAGATTTTTATATATATCCATTTTACTACAATACCGTGTATGGTAACTGTAGATTTATATATATATATCCATTTCACTACAATATCGTGTATGGTTACTGTAGATTTTTATATATATCCATTTCGCTACAATACCGTGTATGGTTACTGTAGGTTTTTATATATATCCATTTCACTACAATGCCGTGTATGGTTACTGTAGATTTTTATATATATCCATTTCGCTACAATACCGTGTATGGTTACTGTAGATTTTTTATATATATCCATTTCACTACAATATCGTGTATGGTTACTGTAGATTTTTATATATATCCATTTTACTACAATACCGTGTATGGTAACTGTAGATTTATATATATATATCCAGTTCACTACAATACCGTGTATGGTTACTGCAGATTTTTATATATATCCATTTCACTACAATGCCGTGTATGGTTACTGTAGATTTTTTTATATATATCCATTTCACTACAATGCCGTGTATGGTTACTGTAGATTTTTTTATATATATCCATTTCACTACAATATCGTGTATGGTTACTGTAGATTTTTATATATATCCATTTTACTACAATACCGTGTATGGTTACTGTAGATTATTATATATATCAATTTCACTACAATACCGTGTATGGTTACTTTAGATTTTTTTATATATATCCATTTCACTACAATGCCGTGTATGGTTACTGTAGATTTTTTATATATATCCATTTCACTACAATGCCGTGTATGGTTACTGTAGATTTTTATATATATCCATTTTACTACAATACCGTGTATGGTAACTGTAGATTTATATATATATATCCAGTTCACTACAATACCGTGTATGGTTACTGCAGATTTTTATATATATCCATTTCACTACAATATCGTGTATGGTTACTGTAGATTTTTATATATATCCATTTCACTACAATGCCGTGTATGGTTACTGTAGATTTTTTTATATATATCCATTTCACTACAATATCGTGTATGGTTACTGTAGATTTTTATATATATCCATTTCGCTACAATACCGTGTATGGTTACTGTAGGTTTTTATATATATCCATTTCACTACAATGCCGTGTATGGTTACTGTAGATTTTTATATATATCCATTTCGCTACAATACCGTGTATGGTTACTGTAGGTTTTTATATATATCCATTTCACTACAATGCCGTGTATGGTTACTGTAGATTTTTTATATATATCCATTTCACTACAATGCCGTGTATGGTTACTGTAGATTTTTATATATATCCATTTCACTACAATATCGTGTATGGTTACTGTAGATTTTTATATATATCCATTTTACTACAATACCGTGTATGGTTACTGCAGATTTTTATATATATCCATTTCACTACAATGCCGTGTATGGTTACTGTAGATTTTTTATATATATCCATTTCACTACAATGCCGTGTATGGTTACTGTAGATTTTTATATATATCCATTTTACTACAATACCGTGTATGGTAACTGTAGATTTATATATATATATCCATTTCACTACAATGCCGTGTATGGTTACTGTAGATTTTTTTATATATATCCATTTCACTACAATATCGTGTATGGTTACTGTAGATTTTTATATATATCCATTTTACTACAATACCGTGTATGGTTACTGCAGATTTTTATATATATCCATTTCACTACAATACCGTTTATGGTTACTGTAGATTTTTATATATATCCATTTCACTACAATACCGTTTATGGTTACTGTAGATTTTTATATATATCCATTTTACTACAATACCGTGTATGGTTACTGTAGATTATTATATATATCAATTTCACTACAATACCGTGTATGGTTTATGGTCCACGCCTCTACATCTGATAACATACTTATCCACGCCTCTACATCCGATAACATAGTTATCCACGCCTCTACATCTCATAACATACTTATCCACGCCTCTACATCCGATAACATAGTTATCCACGCCTCTACATCTCATAACATACTTATCCACGCCTCTACATCCGATAACATAGTTATCCACGCCTCTACATCTGGTAACATATTTATCCACGCCTCTACATTTGATAACATAGTTATCCACGCCTCTACATCTCATAACATACTTATCCACGCCTCTACATCTGATAACATACTTATCCACGCCTCTACATCCGATAACATAGTTATCCACGCCTCTACATCTGGTAACATATTTATCCACGCCTCTACATTTGATAACTTAGTTCTCCACGCCTCTACATCTGATAACATACTTATCCACGCCTCTACATCCGATAACATAGTTATCCACGCCTCTACATCTCATAACATACTTATCCACGCCTCTACATCTGATGACCTAGTTGTCCACACCTCTACATCTGATGACATAGTTATCCACGCCTCTACAGCTGATCCCACCTGTTGTTGTCATTGCGTGTGCTGCTTATTAAATCTGATAACATAGTTATCCACGCCTCTACCTCTGGTAACATAGTTATCCACGCCTCTACATCTGATGACATAGTTGTCCACACCTCTACATCTGATGACATAGTTATCAACGCCTCTACAGCTGATACCACCTGTTGTTGTCATTGCGTGTGCTGCTTATTAAATCTGATAACATAGTTATCCACGCCTCTTCATCTGATAACATAGTTATCCACGCCTCTACATCTGATGACATAGTTATCCACGCCTCTACAGCTGATACCACCTGTTGTTGTCATTGCGTGTGCTGCTTATTAACGTATGACATAATTAGACATGAACATAACTGTGATTAATCCAAGCACGTGCTACACTAATTGCACACGAGGCGTATTTATCTTATCAACCCTCGTACCATGTGACAAGATCTAGTTTAATTTTACGATCCAAGGTCACTACTTTTATATAACGACCAGGGTTAGTAATGTATATGGACGTTCCAGATCCGTGTACAATATCGCGTGCATTGAACGTGTTAGTCTTTCCATAGAACGGTTTATATCTGCAGCTGCCGGTGAGAGAATGGTGTTAAATAGCTTTTATTACACACAGCAACGTCAGGAGAACTCGGTTACTGTAGGGTTTCTTTATCTATCTATTTCACTACAATACCGTGTATGGTTACTGTAGATTTTTATATATATCCATTTCACTACAATACCGTGTATGGTTACTGTAGATTATTATATATATCCATTTCACTACAATACCCTGTATGGTTACTGTAGATTTATATATATATATCCAGTTCACTACAATACCGTGTATGGTTACTGTAGATTTTTTATATATATTCATTTCACTACAATACCGTGTATTGTTACTGTAGATTTTTATATATATCCATTTCACTACAATACCCTGTATGGTTACTGTAGATTTATATATATATCCATTTCACTACAATGCCGTGTATGGTTACTGTAGATTTTTATATATATTCATTTCACTACAATACCGTGTATGGTTACTGTAGATTTTTATATATATCCATTTTACTACAATACCGTGTATGGTTACTGTAGATTTATATATATATCCATTTCACTACAATACCGTGTATGGTTTATGTCAACAAGAGAGAATGGCAGGAGATCAGCTTCGTCCGGTTGACCTTAGGGTCAAGGTCGTTAACATTTCTACGTCATCACTCTAGCGACCCTATATCTGTACTGATTTTCATAAAACTTTGTAACACCAAACGAGTGACAAGGGTTGATGGTTGGTTAAAAGTTTATTCTGGTAACCTCAAGTATTAGGATCGGTCTTTAACGTTTGGTCTCGCTCTCAGTCGTCTCCGAGCTGTCTCTATCTGTATTAGCTCTAACCCATCTCTAGCCGTCCCTAGCCCTTCTGGCCTCTTCTCTAGCCGTCCCTAGCCTTTCTAACCTCTTCTCTAGCCGTCATTATCTCCTTTCTATATTATATTTATACTCGATTTTAATCTATCGGTACGTGCATAGATGGTCAGTTGAGACTTGAATATCATACCAGCCCTTATCTACCATAAGGTATAAGCCCCAAATTGAGACTTTAAGATCATATCTATGTAATCCTGTATTCACCGAGCTATTCCCGATATACGTAATTAATTACACAACGTCGTAACACTGACTGTGTCACAACTTTCTATAATTGTCATATTTGACAAAACATTTAACCAGTGCGCGTGTCATGGTATTGTGATTAAGGTTAAGGTTACTGTAATTATAACTTGAAAAGTTTTTTTCATAGTTGTTGCGAACGTTCATTTCAGTTTTAAATAATTCCTACAATGATTTTCACTTGGCAAACTTAGTTGTCGCTGGAGTAACAAAATGTCCCCGAATCTCCCTAAATATTACACTCAGCCAACGCGGCTTTTGTCAAATGTAAGGGGAACAAACATGTGTGCATACTGCACATCGAAAAATGGGTACCGCAGTTCAATGTTCGTCATAATGTAATGTGTTATCCAATAAATATACCCATGCCATATTTGTTGCGTATTAACCCATGTTATACGGCCATTCAGCCCCGTGATTGGTTATAGAATGTCACAAATCTTCATTATGTGATAACATGGATCTAATTTTATGAATTTTTCGAGATGTATGAAACTCGTCACGATTTTTTCATTTTAGCTCGCCAAAGGGTCGCTACATTAAAAAATTCTTACGACCCGTTTCATAATCGCATATGAAATGACAATTAATATAAGATCCTATATTTTGTACTCTTCATACAAAGTACATCATAATGATGTACATGTATGTGGGGCCGGAGGAGGGGAAGGGGGAGGAGGGGGATCTTATACTTGTCATTCTGGCTTCAACAGAAAACTGACAATATGACGCAAGTCCCAAGGTCATTGATCTCTTGTTGTGAACGATTTAACGGGACGTCATTCATAGTTATATAGTATTTCGATATTTGATTTGGAGGATATTAAATCATAGGAATTATAACCATGCTCCCATGAAAAATGAATGTTTAGATTGCTTGCTTGGCCTGCTGAAGTGAAACGTGACAAAGTTCACCTGAAGCTTTTAGCCGAGTCTCATTTTTCCTTCAGCAACAAAACACATCTGAAGCTTTTAGCCGAGTCTCATTTTTCCTTCAGCAACAAAACACATATTAAATCCTTTAATGATACTATAGCAATCTATAACCGTTATATAATGATACTATAGCAATCTATAACCGTTATATAATGATACTATAGCAATCTATAACCGTTATATAATGATACTATAGCAATCTATAACCGTTATATAATGATACTATAGCAATCTATAACCGTTATATAATGATACTATAGCAATCTATAACCGTTATATAATGATACTATAGCAATCTATAACCGTTATATAATGATACTATAGCAATCTATAACCGTTATATAATGATACTATAGCAATCTATAACCGTTATATAATGATACTATAGCAATCTATAACCGTTATATAATGATACTATAGCAATCTATAACCGTTATATAATGATACTATAGCAATCTATAACCGTTATATAATGATACTATAGCAATCTATAACCGTTATATAATGATACTATAGCAATCTATAACCGTTATATAATGATACTATAGCAATCTATAACCGTTATATAATGATACTATAGCAATCTATAACCGTTATATAATGATACTATAGCAATCTATAACCGTTATATAATGATACTATAGCAATCTATAACCGTTATATAATGATACTATAGCAATCTATAACCGTTATATAATGATACTATAGCAATCTATAACCGTTATATAATGATACTATAGCAATCTATAACCGTTATATAATGATACTATAGCAATCTATAACCGTTATATAATGATACTATAGCAATCTATAACCGTTATATAATGATACTATAGCAATCTATAACCGTTATATAATGATACTATAGCAATCTATAACCGTTATATAATGATACTATAGCAATCTATAACCGTTATATAATGATACTATAGCAATCTATAACCGTTATATAATGATACTATAGCAATCTATAACCGTTATATAATGATACTATAGCAATCTATAACCGTTATATAATGATACTATAGCAATCTATAACCGTTATATAATGATACTATAGCAATCTATAACCGTTATATAATGATACTATAGCAATCTATAACCGTTATATAATGATACTATAGCAATCTATAACCGTTATATAATGATACTATAGCAATCTATAACCGTTATATAATGATACTATAGCAATCTATAACCGTTATATAATGATACTATAGCAATCTATAACCGTTATATAATGATACTATAGCAATCTATAACCGTTATATAATGATACTATAGCAATCTATAACCGTTATATAATGATACTATAGCAATCTATAACCGTTATATAATGATACTATAGCAATCTATAACCGTTATATAATGATACTATAGCAATCTATAACCGTTATATAATGATACTATAGCAATCTATAACCGTTATATAATGATACTATAGCAATCTATAACCGTTATATAATGATACTATAGCAATCTATAACCGTTATATAATGATACTATAGCAATCTATAACCGTTATATAATGATACTATAGCAATCTATAACCGTTATATAATGATACTATAGCAATCTATAACCGTTATATAATGATACTATAGCAATCTATAACCGTTATATAATGATACTATAGCAATCTATAACCGTTATATAATGATACTATAGCAATCTATAACCGTTATATAATGATACTATAGCAATCTATAACCGTTATATAATGATACTATAGCAATCTATAACCGTTATATAATGATACTATAGCAATCTATAACCGTTATATAATGATACTATAGCAATCTATAACCGTTATATAATGATACTATAGCAATCTATAACCGTTATATAATGATACTATAGCAATCTATAACCGTTATATAATGATACTATAGCAATCTATAACCGT